TCAGGATATCACTACACTAGATCTCAGGATGTAATCACACAACCCATTACCCAGGTTGTTATAACACAAAAGACTAATGGGCACACAGCCAGCACCTCAACTACTCAGGATGTTATGAAACAGCCAATCAATCTGCAAACAATGGCTCCCACACAGCCAACCAATCCACCTACAGCAACTAAGCCAGCACTCCACACACCCCCACCAGTATTTATAGAGAGACAGCAGCTCCGATCACACTTTGCTCGCACAGAAGCCGAAGCCAAAGACCCCAGCCTGAAGATGACGAGTGGGACCTCGTCGAAACGTCACCAAGATACTCTCAATCTTACATGGGAAAAGACCCGAATACGCCAAGACCTGCATACCTGTACCCGTGAAAATCTACGAAAACATATATAACCAAAGACCTACACACACACACACACACACACACACACACACACATATGTTTTTTCAATAACCCTAGTTTGCAGGACTATGTGCTTGTCTGTTTTATTAAAACATTGGAAGAACAAAAATCGAAGGATTAGAATCTTCAATAGACTACCCCAGTGTTTCTCGACCTTAGCAACTTTAAGATGTTGGCTGGGGAATTCTGGGAGTTGAAGTCCAGACAGCTTGAATTTGCTAAGATTGGGAAACACAGGTCTATCTCATCCTTAGCCATAGCTAAGATCATGAACTCTTTCAGACAAAGTTGAAGCTTCTAAAATTTTGTATTATAACTCCAAACATCTTCCCCATCTCTGAAATATGTGGAGTCTTCAGAAGTTAGGAGAGCACTTCTCCTTTACCCCAAGGTCTGGATCATGATAATATATACTTCAGCCTTTACAATTCACAAACTAGCATATCTGTCTCCAACCACAAATTTACAACCTGTCATGGACAATCCCCAGATTTGTAATCCTAGCACATAAATTGCAAAAGGCTAACAGCAGTTTTCCAATGTTATTGGACTGATGCCCAGCAAGTTTAAAGATGAGAATGCCTTCCAAGTTTAAGCTATGGGGAACTGAAAGCTATTTTTCATATTTGAATCACCTTTCCAACAGATGTCTTTTCAATTTATTAGAAGGCATGAATCCTCTATATTCCTGGAAATGTATTCAGTTCTTGTACTTATTCAAGATCCTTTCATTGAGTTTTCTAAGGCTGATGCTTTCTATATATTAAAGGAGAGCTATTTTTTTTAAAAAAAAGCCTTGAAGGATCTGAAAAAGTGCATACTAGCATTTATTGAATGCCTGTATTAAACTATTATGATAGGCACATTCAAAAGCTGTTGGATCCTTCATCTTAATTCTTTGAATCATATCATAAATGCATGCTGATATGGGCTGGCAAGTACTTAATAGTAGATTAGTGGTTGTAAGCTGGTTGTATTTTAAATAAGAATGAAACAATGGTTCTGCAAAAAAAGAGGAAGAACCCCCCACACCATTTCAAATTGAATTCAAATGTAATAAATTATGAAACTGGTATAGCATATTTTAAGAAGCTGATCCATCAAACTGAATGTCAGAATTAGAGACTTTTAGGCCAAAACAGAAGTGAAAGGAAAGTTTACTCCAAATTGTGAGGCTTTAAATAAAAATTAAAAAATTAAGAGGCATGGAGATAGAACAAAAGGGTCAATGCAATTAAAGATTTGCGGAGAGAAGTGATAAAATTCCAATATAGATTTCCATCAATAGTGAGAACTAAGCCACACAAGCAATTCACAAGCTTAACGGTATTGTATTTGCACTATCATTGCTAAATGGCCAATATGGTTTCAAAAAGCTTTGGAGGAAGAATGAATAAAATCGCCTTTCTGACGAATACAGAAAGATATCTCCAAGTAACAAAACATTGTGGTTTCTGCCTAACAGCTTTTCATCAGACTCCCCAGTGATTTGCTATATGTTAGTTGTAAATGCTTCTAAATGGCTTATATCAAAAAGCACCTTTTCCATGTAGTCTTTGATCAATATTTGTTTTTAAAAACTTGAAAGGGAAGTGCAAGAACAATCCTTTTAGACAAATGATTTACCATAAAAGTCCTCTTAAATTTTTTTACCCTAGGTTAAGGCAGCAAACACGGCTTTTTAATTGTCAACACTGCTTTTCACTTTCTTTGCAAACCACAGAAAGAGAAGAGATGCTTAAAATGCAAAATGTGCCAGTTTCAGTCCCTGGGACTCTCTGTTAAAATGGACTGGATACATGTGATCAGAAAGGCTGCTCCCTCTGTTAGACATAAGAAAAATGCTCTCAGTCAAAACAAATTGAGTAAGATTAACCCACCAAACATCCAGACTTCATAAATGGTATCTGTTTCCATACTTCAGTAAACTCAAGATATTAGGCTAGGGCAGTGGTTCTCAACCTGTGGTCTGTGCACACAATGTCATCACAGGGATTGTGTGAAGTCTTGAAGAAATGTTATGATTTAAATCTTGAGTTAAGTCTTGGGAGTTTGTGACCACAATGGGTATTTAAATGGAGTCCGTGGTAAAGAAAAGGTTGAGAACCACTGGGCTAGGGTAAAACAGATATAGGTTCCAATCCACGTTTAACCTTGAAATTGACAGATGTGATCTTGGAACAGTTCCCTTATTCAGTGGTGGGATTCAAATATGGGAACAAACGGTTTTCTGTGTGGTTGCCACTTCCGGAAGTCCATTCTGGGCCTAGGCAACAAAAGATTAGTTACCGGTTCTGCCAAAGTGGTGTGAACCGGCTGAATCCCACCACTGCCCTTATTATATTTAAATATAGAACTACACAATCTTTTGGTTGTCAGGTGTTGCCCTTGGCATTTTGAAGAGAACTGAATGTTGTAGAGATGAGGCAGTGAGGGCAAGAACAGACCAAACACATAGGCAGGGGAATCAGTTTTCTGATTCTCTCCCATCCTTATGATTTTGAAGGAAGATCTTTTTTTAAAAAAAAAAACAAACACCTTTGTATCTGAGGGTTGATGCTACAAGTTTGCTTATTTCCTGCCTCAAAAGGGCAGAAAGTCATACCACACGATTTTAGTCAGAAGAGGCACAAAAGGCACTTGGAAATTATAAGTGGCCTTGCCCAGAATTGAAAAAGAAACCATTCAAACTCTCCTTGAATGATAATGGTTTGAAATCAGAGTGTGATGCATCTACTGTGTCATCCTGAGGGTTTGCATTGTGCTGATCCCTCCAGTGAGTGATGAGTAACGGAGTCAAGCAGGATATAATGACCCTGGTAGGCAGCTAGCAAGCAATCAATATAAACAGGGATTTCCCATCATTCAGTGGGTTTACCTACATTATAAAGAATTAGCAAAGAAAAACAGAGCAAGTGCATCTAGTTAAGCCTTCCCAAAGCCAAAACCAAACCTCACAAAGAAAGAAAACACTCCATAGAATCAAGATCACGTGAAGTGTTAATACCACTTTACAATGCTTTGGTAAGGCCACACTTGGAATACTGCATCCAGTTTTGATCACTGCGATGTAAAAAAGATGTTGAGACTCTAGAAAGAGTGCAGAGAAGAGCAACAAAGATGATTAGGGGACTGGAGGCTAAAACATATAAGGAACAGTTGCTGGAATTGGGTATGTCTAGTTTAATGAAGAGAAGGACGAGGGGGGACATGATAGCAGCGTTCCAATATCTCAGGGGCTGCCACAAAGAAGAGGGAGTCAAGCTATTCTCCAAAGCACCAGAAGGCAGGACAAGAAGCAATGGATGGAAACTAATCAAGGAGAGAAGCAACCTAGAACTAAGGAGAAACTTCCTGACAGTTAGAACAATTAACCAGTGGAACAACCTGCCTCCAGAAGCAGTGAATGCTCCAACACTGGAAATTTTTAAGAAGAGACTGGACAGCCATTTGTCTGAAATGGTATAGGGTTTGGACCAGATGACCTCCAAAGTCACTTCCTACTTATTATTATTATTATTATTATTATTATTATTATTATTATTATTATTATTATTATTATCTGAAATCCATCTTTTTTGGAAATATCCACAACTACACAAACCTGTTTGCCCGACTGATCCTTCTTGACAAAGCCAGTGGCTGCAGCAATATTTCCAGCACCTTCCACCGTCTTCTGGGCTACGGCTGTCACTCCGGTGACAACAGCTCCCCCTACATTTGACACTTGCTCTTTGGTTTTCTCAGCCACTGTAGGGGGGAAAAATGTTAAAGGTGAGAAGAGAAGAAAAATTCTCAAGTGTTCTTTTCAAGGTCAATCTGGCTGTCTCCGACTATTCACAGGTGGCACAAGATACAATTTTATTGTGCATGCAAAAGAAAGAAAGAAAATCACAAAAGCATCTCTCTGTTAAATCAAACTTGCCTTATATGCATATTTTGTATCTAGGGTGCAATTACACATAATTTTTTTAAAATTTAATTTGAAAAATTAAAAAATTAAAAATTATTTAAACTACAGTTGAAATTCCAAAATAATCTTCCAGCTGGAGCTTCTGGCAGGATAACACTTGTTTAAATATGCAAAGAAAGATCAACTCGTCTGATTATGCATCTTTTCAATGTTTGTAGCAGCTGTATTTTTTTCCAGATCATAAAAGTGTGCAGTATCCATTTAAACTCTTATCCAGTTAAATTCCCAAAGCCATTAGTAGATAATTCAAAACAGAATGAACACCTACAAAAGCCAATGAGTCTTTCTAAATAAAAACTGAGATGCTTTGAGTGGTCTCAAGGATGAAAGTAAGGGAAGGTAATTCTTGGGGGTTGCCCTTGCCCTTCCCCACTCTATATATCCCCAGAAGGATTAAAATATCCTGCCCTTTCATGTCACATTGTCATTTGATGGCATTCTAATCTCTTTAGAAATCAAACTGACTGAGTTGTAGTCTGCAATGTTTATACAGGTAGTCCTTGACTTATAACCACAATTGAGCCCAAAATTTCTCTTGCTAAATGAGACAGTTGTTAAGTGAGTTTTATCCCATTTTACTACCTTGCTTGCCATAATTAAGTAAATCACTGCAGTTAATTAGTAACACGGTTGGTAAGTGAATTTGGCTTCCCCATTGACTTTGCTTGTTAGAAGATTGCAAAAGATGATCACATGACCCCGTCATAAATTTGAGTCAGTTGCTAAGCATCTGAATTTTGACCACATGACCATGGAGACACTGAAACCATCATAAATGTGAATAATTTTTATTTATTTATTTATTTTTGGATTTATATCCCGCCCTTCTCCCGTAGGACTCAGGGCGGCTGACAATCTATTTAAAATACATACAAAACAATACAAATTTAAAATTAATTAAAAGGAATATTTAAATATTTGTCGAATTTTAAAATATAATTAGAATTAAAACCCCCCTAAAAATTACCCTAGGCCAGTCCTGC